AAAAAGCCGGAAGTGGCGCTGTGGCTCAAGTGGTAGAGCACTAGCCTTGAGCTGAAGAGCTGAGGGACAGTGCCCACGCCCAGAGTTCAGGCCCCACAACCGGACCCCCCAAAAAAAGCCAGAACTGGTGTGTGGCTCAAGTGGTAGAGCACCAGCCTTGAGCATAAAAGCTCGGGGACAGCCTCCAGACCTTGAGTTTAAGCCTCAGAATTAGGGGGGGTGGAGAGGGGAGAAAAGGGAGCTTATTGTGTAAAATAAAAGCAACATCTTAGCTATTGTATTATTATTACTTTTACTTAAAACGTACCTTTTGTGTGCTAATACTGGGGCTTGAACTCAGGGGCTGGGCACTGTCCCTCAGCTCTTCAGCTCAAGGCTAGCACTCTACCACTTGAGCCACAGCACCACTTCCAGCTTCATGGTGGTTCATTGGAGATAAGAGTCTCACGGACTTTCCTGCCCAGGCTGGCTTTGAACCGTGGTCCTCCAGATCTCAGCCTCCTCTAAGTAGCTGGGATGACAGGTGTAAACCACTGGCACCTGACTCCATCTGAACTATTCTAGGAATTTGAGACATATGTCTTCCCCAAAGTAATCTTCGCCTACACCGGCTTACCGGGCTTGGAGATCCCACAAGCCATTTGTCCATTGGTGATCCTTGGGTGTGTTTCTCTTTAGGGGATGCAGACAGAAAGCATTGCAAATTCCAGCCGGATCCCAGGGTTCCCCCGGCCTTTAGCGCCCACAATGAAGACTATCTTGGAAGTGGCTGGTCTAGAGGCCATATGGCTCCAGCTGGAAATAACAAATTTTCAAGTGTAAGCACATTTTTAAAAGATTTTAATTTATTATTACCATTATCATTATTATTTCATTTATTTATTTTTTGCCAGTTCTGGGGCCTGGATGCTGCCCCAGCTTCTTTTGCTCAAGGCTGGCACTCTACCACTTGTACCAAACTTCCTCTTTTGAGAGCCGGTTTTCTGTGTCTGTTTTGTGAAATATCTTGAAGAGAAAGGAGTTGCAGTGGAAGTGATCATCTTTTTTTTCTTTTCACAGAAAGCCATGGCTGAAACCTTTTACCTTTCTAATATTGTGCCTCAGAATTATGAAAATAATTCTGGATATTGGAATAGGTAAGTCTGGGAGTTTATAAAGTACATTCTTTAGCTGAGTGCCGGGGGCTTATTTCTGTCATCCCAGCTACTCAGGAAGCTGAGATCTAGAGGATCGTGGTTTGAAGCCAGCCCAGAGCAGGAAAGAATGTGAGAATCTTAGCTCCAATTAACCACAAAAAAAACGTAAGTAGCGCTGTGGCTCAAAGAGGTAGAACGTTAGCCTTGAGTGAAAAACTCAGGGACAGCACCCAGGCCCTGAGTTCAAGCATAGGATGGGCACCAAAAATAAATAAAAATGCAAATTGAGCCAGGTGCTGGTGGCTCACACCTGTAATCCTAGCTACTCAGGAGGCTGGGATCTTAGGATACAGTTCAAAGCCAGCCCGGGCAGGAAAGTCCATGAGACTCATATCTCCAGTAAACCACCAGAAAACCAGAAGTGGCGCTGTGGCTCAAGCGGTAGAGCACTTGCCTTGAGCTGAAGAGCTGAGGGACAGCGCCCAGGCCCAGAGTTCAAGCCCCACGACTGACAAAAAAAAAAAAAATGCAAATTGCATTCCATCTAAAAACGTTAGCGTAACTCCTGTGTACATCAGCTGGTTGGATAACATGTAATTCTTGAAAATGCTTTGAAACAAGTCTAGGTGGTGCATTACTGCATTTCTCTCTCCCCCCCGCCCCCCCCTTTTCTTTTGTGGCACTGGGGATTGAATCCAGGCATAGACAAATGTCTGCCAACCACTGGATTACAGCCCCCAGCCTTGACTGTGTGTGTGTGTGCCTGTCCTGGGGCCTGAACTCTGGGCCTGGGCACTGTCCCTCAGCTCTTCAGCTCAAGGCTAGCGCTCTACCACATGAGCCACAGCGCCACTTCCGGCTTTTTTCTTCTTGCTTATGTGGTGCTGAGGAATCGAATCCAGGGCCTCATGCATGCAAGGCAAGCGCTCTGCCACTGAGCCACCTTCCCAGTCCCGATTCCTTTGGTTTTTCAGAATAGAAATGTATTGCCGGGAACTGACAGAGCGCTTCGAGGATGTGTGGGTAGTGTCTGGACCTCTGACCTTACCTGAGACTAGAAATGATGGCAAGAAGACTGTGAGTTACCAGGTAGGGCCTTGAAACATTCAGGGCTTTGTTACTTGCATGAACTTTGTTTATTCTGGGTTCTGCTTTTGCACATGCGCGCGTGTGTTTATGTGCATGCGTGCATGCGCATACACTGGTACTGGGGCTTGAACTCTGGGCTTAGGGGCTGAGCTTTTTTTTTTTTTCCCCTTAAGGCTGGCACTACCACTTGAGCCACAGCGCCACTTCTGGCTTTTTAGCGGTCCATTGGAGATCAGAATCTCACAGACTTTCCTGCCTGGGCTGGCTTTGAACCGCCATCCTCCAGATCTCAGCCTCCTGAGTAGCTGGAATGAAGCGCACGAGTTGTGCTTTTCCTTATTCAGAAGCTTAAGGATAACAGGTAAATGAAAAAAAAAAGAAAATGATGTGGAACCAGGTGCCGGTGGCTCACACCTGTCCTTCTAGCTTGCTCAGGAGGCTGAGATCGAGTGGACCCTGGTTCAAAGCCAGCCAGGGCAGATAATCTGGGAGACCTAGCCAAAAACTGGAAAGTAGAGGTGTGGCCGAAGTGGTAGAGCACCAGCCTGGAGCAAAAATAGCCAAGGAAGAAGCATGAGGCCCTGAGTTTAATCCTCCAGCACCAAACAGACAGACAGACAGACAGACATGGTACAGGGAGGGGAGAGCCCCAAAATAAACCACGGAAAATGGGCCAAGAGTGATTTTCTTATAGTCAGGCACAAATGTCGGTTAGAATATTTGGGAGAGCATGATCCAGTCCAAGAACTCCGGCGACCCGGCCGCCCGCGGGCAGATAAGTAGCAGTGATTTTGATCAGAAGTGAGTCACCTGACAGTTCTTATCAGAATCACCCCTTTTTCTCAGAGCTACTTCTCCATTGGAAACTGGCCTTCAGGCACGTGAGGCCCAGCCCAGTGAAGCCTACCTGAACATCGGCTGCTAGAGATGACCACAACAAGAAAGCAGGCCAGCTGCCGTGGATCACGTCTGTCATCCGAGCACTCAGGAGGCTGAGATCTAGAAGATCATGGTTCAAAGCCAGCCTCTGGCAGTAAAACCAAGTCTGTGAGACTCTTTCTCTCCGGTGAGCCAGCAAAAAGCCCAAAGTGGCTAAAGTGGTAGAGTAGTAGTAGGAGCTTGTAGTCTTGAGCAAAAAAAAAAAGGCTCAGGGAATATTATGAGTTTTTTTTCTTCTTGCTGGTACTGGAACTTGAACTCAGGGCCTGGGCTTTATCCCTGAGCCTCTCTGTGCTCAAGGCTAGTGCTCTACCACTTAAGCCACAGGACCACTTCTGGCTTTTTCTGTATGTGTGATACTAAGGTATCAAATCCAGGGCTTTGTGCATGCTAGGCGAGCACTCCACCACTGAGCCACCTTCCCAGCCCCTGTTACTGTAATATATATGTTTAAAACACCTGTAGAAATGTTATTTCTTTACCTTTGGCTGGAATTAGCCTATTGATGGATGGATGGATTCTTTTTATCAGTCATGGGACTTGAACTCAGGTCCTGAGCACTGTCCTGAACTCTTTTGCTCAAGGTTGGCGCTCTACCACTCTGAGCCAAGTATGGCGCCACTTCCGGTTTCCTGGTGGTTGACTGGAGATCAAGAGGCTCACGGACTTTTCCTGCCCAGGCTGGCTTCGAACCACGATCCTCCGGATCTCAGCCTTCTGAGTAGCTGGGGTGACATGTGTGAGCCGCCAGTGAAATCTGTGGTTCATCTGTGCTGCTTGTGTTGTTGTAGGTGATCGGCTCAGACAATGTGGCCGTACCCTCGCATCTTTACAAAGTGATCCTGGCCCGGAGGAGCCCCGGGTCCCCCGAGCCCCTGGCCCTGGGGGCTTTTGTGGTGCCCAACGAAGCCATCGGCTTCCAGCCCCCGCTGGTGGACTTCCAGGTGAGCCTGCGGGACCTCGAGGCGCTGTCGGGCCTAGTGTTTTTCCCCCGGGTGGACCGGACACGGGAGATCCAGGATCTCTGCTCCGTGGACAGCTGCAAACTCATGGACTTCCAAGCCTTCACGCTGTACCTGAGCACCCGGAAGGTGGACAGCGCCCGCTCACTGCCCCGGCTGGAGAAGATTCTGGAAAACCTGAAGGACGCGGGCATCGAACCCGATGCGTATTTTATGAGTCGCTACATGAAAAAGCTTAAAGAACTGATGGCTAAGGAGCAGCCAGGCACCCGGGTAGGGAAATCTTCCTAGATGAGTTGCTTTTGTAAGTTTTGGATGTGTGTGCCCAGTACCAGAACTTGAACTCAGGGCCTGGCCACTCTCCCTTAGCTATTTTCTTTTCTTTTTTTCTTTTGGTCAGTCATGGGGCTTGAACTCTGGGCCTGGGCACTGTCCCTCAGCTCTTCAGTTCAAGGCTAGCGCTCTACCACTTGAGCCACAGCGCCACTTCTGG